GGCATTACCTGGAAAGTCTCATCACTTGATTTGTTGAGATAGTTCAGAGATGCCGCTCGCTTCATGCTGCAAAAGAAGATATAATATTACACCATACATGCCTAATGGGAGGGTATGGTGTGATGGTGTGATGGGTGTGACACGGGATGGTGCGGCGTGGGAGGATGTGATGTGATTGGTGTGATGGATGTGTGTGACACAAGAGTGTGCAGCATGATTGTTTAACATGGAAGGGTGTGTGTTGCGGTAAGCGTGGTACAGTGTGTAGGACACGGAAAGGGTGTGTTGCGTTGGGTGTGAGTGTGACATGGGAAGGTGTATTGCAGTGGTGTGAGCGTGACATGGGATGGTGTGATGGGCGAGCGTGACATGGGATGGTTATAGTGTGATGGGCGAGCGTGGACATGGGATGGTGTGTGTGTGATGGGCGAGCGTGACATGGGATGGTGTGGTGCGATGGGCGAGCGTGACATGGGATGGTGTTTGTGTGGTGTGATGGGCGAGCGTGACATGGGATGGTGTGGTGCGTGTGATGGGCGAGCGTGACATGGGATGGGATGGTGTGGGTGGTGTGTTGGGTGGGTGTGACATGGGAGGGCGGGCGTGTGGTTGCGTTGGGCAAGTGTGACATGGGAAGGTGTATTGCAGTGGGTGAGTGTGGTATGTTGGGTATGACATGAGATGGTGTGGTGCGGTGTGATGGGCGCGAGCGTGTGAGACGGTGCATGTGACGGTGAGACGGTGCTGGTGTATGGGCGAGCGTGACATGAGACGGTGCGGTGACTAGTGTGATGGGCGCGGTGAGCGTGACATGAGACGGTGCGGTGGGGCGTGATGGGCGACGGTGAGGGCAGCGTAGTGACGCGGGAGGGCGCGGTGGGCGCGTGACGGCGCGCGACGCGGGGGCTGACGAGGGCGCGTGACACGGGAAGGCGCGGTGGGCGTGTGACACGGGAGGGGGCGCGGGGTGGGCGCGTGACACGGGAAGGCGCGGTGGGCGCGTGACACGGGAAGGCGCGGTGGGCGCGTGACACGGGAAGGCGCGGTGGGCGCGTGACACGGGAGGGCGCGGTGGGCGCGTGACACGGGGAGGGGGCGCGGTGGGCGCGTGACACGGGAGGGCAGGCGCGGTGGGCGCGTGACACGGGAAAGGCGCGGGTGGGCGCGTGACACGGGAAGGCGCGGTGGGCGCGTGACACGGGAAGGCGCGGTGGGCGCGTGACACGGGAGGGCGCGTTTGTGTAATAGAGGAAGGTGTGCCGTGAGTGTGTGACACCGTAGGGTTCAGGGTGAGAGCAGAAGTGACATAAGAAGGGGCGGGTGCGGTGTGAGGTTTGTTGGGTTGTTACTTTGAATTGCGCGGTTCAGGCGGTGTTGTTCCCTGTAGCTTCTTCACCAACATTTCGCTGCTTCTTCGCAGGACATCGCGGATCTTCCCCAGAGACCCTGACCTCCTGAGGGCCCCACTGCCGTCCTGTAATAGAATTACACAACTCGCACACCGTGTGTACTACAAGACTAACACCAGAACACAAATCCAACAGCATGTGTACCTCAACCAACAGCACCAACTATGTACAAAACACAGCGTATGTTATGCAGACACACACACAGTACGCCGAGAAGGCAACACACAGCGTACACCACAGACACAACACATACAACATACACTGTGTAGCGACAATTCACAGTCTATGTCACGCAAACACAACATACACAAGTATGCCACACAGACACAATACACACACACAGTACACCTCGTACAGACAGAACACACATACAGCATACACCACCGAGATACAACACACAAAGTGCTCCAGTGCAGACACAACACACACTGTACACCATGAATAGATCACACACGGGGTGGATTTACTAAAAAGGGTTTTGCAAAGTGCAGTTGCTCCAGAACTTAGTAAATGAGGGGAATCGCTGCCGACTTCCATCACCCAATCATGTGCAGCAAAAATGCATTTTTTTTTTAAATTGGTCTTGCATGTGATTGTTTTCTTTGTAAAGTGAAGCTTTACTTCATTTACTAAGCTCTGGAGCAACTGCACAATCTATTTGCCTTTAGCAAATCAACCCCATACGGTACACCACAGACACAACACACACATACAACATCGCCCAACACACACATAGTAAACCATGCAGACACAACACACACAACACGGATCCAACACACAGTGTACCTTGTGCAGATAGAACACGCATAGTAAACCATGCAGACACAACACACAGCACGGATCCAACACAGTGTACCTTGTGCGGATAGAACACGCATAGGACTCCAGAGCAGACAACACGGATCCAACACACAGTGTACCTTGTGCGGATAGAACATGCATAGGACTCCAGAGCAGACACAACACACAGCACGGATCCAACACAGTGTACCTTGTGCGGATAGAACACGCATAGGACTCCAGAGCAGACACAACACGGATCTAACACACAGTGTACCTTGTGCAGATAGAACACGCATAGGACTCCAGAGCAGACACCACACAGCACGGATCCAACACAGTGTACCTTGTGCAGATAGAACATGCATAGGACTCCAGAGCAGACAACATGGATCCAACACACAGTGTACCTTGTGCGGATAGAACACGCATAGGACTCCAGAGCAGACAACACGGATCCAACACACAGTGTACCTTGTGCAGATAGAACACGCATAGGACTCCAGAGCAGACAGCACGGATCCAACACACAGTGTACCTTGTGCAGATAGAACACGCATAGGACTCCAGAGCAGACAACACGGATCCAACACACAGTGTACCTTGTGCGGATAGAACATGTATAGGACTCCAGAGCAGATACAACACACAGCACGGATCCAACACAGTGTACCTTGTGCGGATAGAACACGCATAGGACTCCAGAGCAGACAACACGGATCCAACACACAGTGTACCTTGTGCGGATAGAACACGCATAGGACTCCAGAGCAGACAACACGGATCCAACACACAGACAATAGAACACGGATCCAGAGCAACACACAGTGTGTACCTTGTGCAGATAGAACACGCATAGGACTCCAGAGCAGACAACACGGATCCAACACACAGTGTACCTTGTGCGGATAGAACATGCATAGGACTCCAGAGCAGATACAACACACAGCACCCAGATATTTGAAAAGTGATGCTGCCCCCTAGCAACAAATGTCAGGCCTTGGGCCAAGACACATGAAATCACAGGACACCTTCCAGTCATTCAACCTGTCACTGGCCAACCGAACCGAATTTAGACCAATGTTTCGCAGCCCAGGGCTGTGACCCCGAAGTTAGAAGCCACTGATGGATGACCCCACATGACAACCTTCCTACTCACAGACCCTGACCCCCACGTTAGAGGGCAGAGCCTCCATCTGACCCCGATGGATGATACTACAGGACACCCTTTTTCGTTGACTGTGATCTCCACTTGCAGAGTCTCCTTATACCTGAACTCTGGTCTAGTGAGAACCACGGGCCTTGTGGTTACTGGAGTGTCCCGGTTCTTTTGAATGAGGTGCTTGGCCAACATACACCTACTTATCAAGTCGACAGGTTTGTGGAGGTTTGAATCAGTTCTTAACCAGTTTGGACCAATGTGAGCATGTATTTGTCATGCCGGTGGGATCCCTTGAAAGCTGGAAATTACTGTAGTAGGCATCGCTACCATACAGGTCCATTGCTAAGCGCATTCCCAGCTGCTTAATGAACACAGAATGTCGCTCAATCAGCATTCAGACAACACTTTGCATTGTCTCAATGAATGCAAAAAGTGTTCTCTGATTGGATGAGGTGGACATGGTGACGTCATTGATCAACATGTGTCAATGTACTAACAGCCTTGTTTGTAGATGTAGTGATCGGTGTACATGGCGGCAGCCATAGTGATTTTATATCAATGACTTGTAGCCGGAGATCATGTGGTCTAGACCGTGAAACAGGATATTTATTTATGGATAGGTGAATGAAATCTATTCCTCAACATCAGAGTGGGATTTGGCAATGGTGGATCTTGTCCTATTGTGGATTATAGCCACAGGTCCACTTTAAAGGAAATCATTGCCGACTTCTCCTGGAAATGATAATTGCCTGCATTTCACACAAACCATCTCGCTCTGAATAATTCAAATCACTGACCCAGAGAAAGTATGTGAATTAGGACTTCTGACTCTCCATACTTATTCCAGGTCAGTGACTCAAAAAGTATTGAGTCCAGAGGGTAAATGACAGCCAGGAAACTTGCATCATCCGAGGGCAGCTTCTTTAGGACTCTTCTGAAAGGTTCATGCTGATCCTTGAACAAGTCTTGAAGATCCTAGAAGAATCCTTAAAAGAGTTTGTTTCATCTACTATGAGTCCAATGTTGTATTCTCCTCAAGCTCTGTATAAAGTCATTCCTACACCACGTTTAGAATTTGGGTCCCGGAAACGCAGCGGCAGATCTTGCAGCATTCACAGAAGCCTTCTGAAGGTCCTTATCTAACATCTGCTCCCAGTTACAAGTCTGATCTGTGGTCACGCCATAACATTTCTCAGGTTCATGCTGATCCTTGAACAAGTCTTGAAGATCCTAGAAGAATCCTTGAAGGAGTTTGTTTCATCTACTATGAGTCCAATGTTGGATTCTCCTCAAGCTCTGTATAAAGTCATTCCTACACCACGTTTAGAATTTGGGTCCCGGAAACGCAGCGGCAGATCTTGCAGCATTCACAGAAGCCTTCTGAAGGTCCTTATCTAACATCTGCTGCCAGTTACGAGTCTGGTCTGTGGTCACGCCATAACATTTCTCAGGTTCATGCTGATCCTTGAACAAGTCTTGAAGATCCTAGAAGAATCCTTGAAGGAGTTTGTTTCATCTACTATGAGTCCAATGTTGGATTCTCCTCAAGCTCTGTATAAAGTCATTCCTACACCACGTTTAGAATTTGGGTCCCGGAAACGCAGCGGCAGATCTTGCAGCATTCACAGAAGCCTTCTGAAGGTCCTTATCTAACATCTGCTCCCAGTTACGAGTCTGGTCTGTGGTCACGCCATAACATTTCTCAGGTTCATGCTGATCCTTGAACAAGTCTGAAGATCCTAGAAGAATCCTTGAAGGAGTTTGTTTCATCTACTATGAGTCCAATGTTGGATTCTCCCTCAAGCTCTGTATAAAGTCATTCCTACACCAGGTTTAGAATTTGGGTCCCGGAAACGCAGCGGCAGATCTTGCAGCATTCACAGAAGCCTTCTGAAGGTCCTTATCTAACATCTGCTCCCAGTTACGAGTCTGGTCTGTGGTCACGCCATAACATTTCTCAGGTTCATGCTGATCCTTGAACAAGTCTTGAAGATCCTAGAAGAATCCTTGAAGGAGTTTGTTTCATCTACTATGAGTCCAATGTTGGATTCTCCTCAAGCTCTGTATAAAGTCATTCCTACACCACGTTTAGAATTTGGGTCCCGGAAACGCAGCGGCAGATCTTGCAGCATTCACAGAAGCCTTCTGAAGGTCCTTATCTAACATCTGCTCCCAGTTATGAGTCTGGTCTGTGGTCACGCCAAACATTTCTCAGGCATTCGCAAGATGTTCTGGGAGAGTTTGTTCCTCCAGACAAATCAGTTAACCACTTCCAGACCGGACACTTTCACCCCCTTCCTGACCAGGGCAATTTTCAGCTTTCAGCGCTATCACACTTTGAATGACAATTGCGCGGTCATGCAACACTGTACCCAATTTAATTTTTTACCATTTTTTTGAGACAGATAAAGCTTTATTTTGGTGGTATTTATTCACCGCGGGGATTTTTATTTTAGTGTGTTTTTTTTTTTTAAATTTTGCAAATAAATAATATTTCATCATAGATCTTTGCCAAAATTTATTCCGTTATCTTTTTAGTAAAAACAAAATCCAAATTAGTTTATAACCAAAAATGATAATTTTTAAACTTTTTTTTACATTTTTATTTTATTTTTGGATAATTTTTTGATGGGGGGTGATGAAGATTTTTTTTTTTTTTTTTTTACACTGATTGCTTTTACACCCATATAGGATGTAAAAGCAATCATTTCTCTTTCTCTCTGTCTGCATTCTTGCACTCATTGAGAAGTATTGAGTGAGCTGTGATTGGTCACAGCTTGTCACATGGTACAAGGCTGTTGTGAATAGCCTTGTACCATGTGACCTCTGTGATCATTCACAGATTTCACACGTAGTAAGCAATGATGTCACAAGTGACATCTTGCTTACTACTTTGCATGTGATCACTGATTGGCCAATCAGTGATCACATGATCGGGACCTCGTACAGAGGTCCCGTCCGACGATGAGTGTTTCACTGTGTCCGGAGGACACAGCGGGCACCGGATCGCGGTGCTGCACGCTCCCCAGGGAGCGCACACAAGCAGGGTGCGGGGAGGCCGTTTATAAACGGCCACCCGACCCTGCACTGCCACCGTCCGGCCGTTTATATGCAACGGCCGGTCGGGGGAAGTGGTTAAGTAGTCTGAGTCTTTTATTAAAAAAAATATGTGTTTGATATTATCAAATACAAATCTTGGAGAAGAGAATGTTTACTGGACGAAGTCTCTCTAGCTTACGAGATAAGATTCCGTTAGGACTGCTGTGTAATATTCCTGAACATCAAGGTCAATGTCAACCTAGATCTTTTCGGAGGCTGGCTATAAAATACAGTATTTGATGTAGAGAAGAAAAACAAAATAGGATTTTGACTGTAAAATTATTTTCTTGAAGTACATCAAAAAGGGACAGAGTGATGCCATTCAGGTGCCTCGGGTTATGCTACTGCCTTCAGGAGAATAGACACCAGTAGACAAGGTTAGAAAGGACAGAGTATAATAACCCCTCCTATCATTCTCCAGTTTTGCAATTGTAGAAGCAGATCACAAGAACTGGCAGAAGGGACTTGCGTACCTTAATGTACTCCGAGAGAAAAGTGTTTTACAACAAGTAAAAAAAAAAACTGTTTTCTTAAAGTGTTACTAAACCCACAACAGTAAAAATCAGTCTGCATATGCAGTAAAGCATGCTTGTTATACTCACTGTGGGACCTAAGGGGCTAATCTTCTGCATTGTGCATTGATCCTGTCTTCTCTGATCCTCCCCTTCTTGCAGTGCCCCCTCTTATCTCCTGATCAGACATATCATGTGGAGACACTCTGCACATGCTCAGTTTGGTGTTTATTGCTAGAAAGTTTTTTTTTTCTTGGGCACTGTACAGACAGAAGTCAGGGGTTCTGCATCCACTTAGAGCAGAAAGAAAACTCCTCCTAAAAGCTGTAACCAGTGCTCTGCTGGACACTGATAGAAGTCACAAGACTGCTACATTCTGCTGATGAGAAAAGGTATTTAGCAGTTTGTATTTACTAAAATAATTTCACTTCCATGTTCTGTGTACTATGGGAGACCAGATATCGTGAATGCCGGGTCCGGGGAGACCAGGATATCGTGAATGCCGGGTCCGGGGAGACCGGATATCGTGAATGCCGGGTCCGGGGAGACCGGATATCGTGAATGCCGGGTCCGGGGAGACCGGATATCGTGAATGCCGGGTCCGGGGAGACCGGATATCGTGAATGCCGGGTCCGGGGAGACCGGATATCGTGAATGCCGGGTCCGGGGAGACCGGATATCGTGAATGCCGGGTCCGGGGAGACCGGATATCGTGAATGCCGGGTCCGGGGAGACCGGATATCGTGAATGCCGGGTCCGGGGAGAGACCGGATATCGGGTCCAGGAAGCAGATGCAGGGTCCGGGGAGAGCGGATATAGTGAATGCAGGGTCCGGGGAGACCAGATATCGTGAATGCCGGGTCCGGGGAGACCGGATATAGTGAATGCCGGGTCCGGGGAGACCGGATATCGTGAATGCAGGGTGCCGGGGAGACCAGATATCGGAATGCAGGGTCCGGGGAGACCAGATATCGGAATGCAGGGTCCGGGAAGACCAGATGTGAATGCAGGGTCCGGGGAGACCGGATAGTGAATGCCGGGTCCGGGGAGACCAGATATAGTGAATGCCGGGTCCGGGGAGACCAGATATAGTGAATGCCGGGTCCGGGGAGACCGGATATAGTGAATGCGGGTCCAGGGAGACCAGATATCGTGAATGCCGGGTCCGGGGAGACCAGATATCGTGAACGGGGTCCGGGGAGACCAGATATAGTCAGTGGGGAACCAGATATAGTGAATGCAGGGTCCGGGGAGACCAGATATAGTGAATGCCGGGTCCGGGGAGACCAGATATAGTGAATGCCGGGTCCGGGGAGACCAGATATAGTGAATGCCGGGTCCGGGGAGACCGGATATAGTGAATGCCGGGTCCAGGGAGACCAGATATCGTGAATGCCGGGTCCGGGGAGACCAGATATCGTGAACAGGGTCCGGGGAGACCAGATATAGTGAATGCAGGGTCCGGGGAGACCAGATATAGTGAATGCAGGGTCCGGGGAGACCAGATATAGTGAATGCCGGGTCCGGGGAGACCGGATATAGTGAATGCCTTGAAAAGGTTGCCTCATTGACCTCCAGCATGTGCTGTCTCTTACGAGCTATGATTATAGCGGTCATGTACACACAGAAAACAACTGCAGATTTGTGCCAAACCGCATGCAAGGTGATAACGGCGACAGTAGAGGATGTTCCAAATGTATTCTGTTATACACCAAAAGTTCAGAGTCAACAAGCATATATCAATAATAATTTGTGTTTGTTGACTTCTCACAAATGGCTCACTCGCTCTTTGCAAAATATATTTTAACAATCAGCTGAAAGAATGTCAACATCTTCCCACCTCCCAATGGCTACAGATCCAAAACTTACAAAACAGTACACCCCCCCCCCCCTCCTAATCTCACAAAACAATGAAGACCCCTTCCACTGAATTCACAATAATGGGGCCCTCTTCCTCATCTGAACCCCCAAAATGGTGAGGATTCCTTCCACTGGGTTCACCATGGTACTCTCCCCCTTCAATGAACTGACCAAATGGTGCGACTCCCCCACTGAACTCACAAAAAGGGTGAGACGCCATCCACTGGACTCACAATGATAGGATTCCTCTCCACTGGGCTCATAATGATCCCTTCCCATTGCACTCATACCAATGGGACTTCCCTCCACTGAGCCCACAATAATGGGAATCCCCCTCTACTAAACTCATAAAACAATGAGGACCCCTTCCATTGAATTCACAATAATGCGACCCACTCCCTCCACTGCACAAAAGGTGTGACTCTCCTTACTAAACTGAAAATGATGAAGCCCTCCCCTACTCCACTGAATTCACAATAAGGGACCCACCTTCTCTGTTTAATTCACAAAGATGCCCCCACCCTTCACTGAACTGACAAAAATGGGATCCCCCTCCACCGAACTTAAAGGATGAGCTCCCCTCCACCAAATGCACACAAAGAAAGACACCACCACCACTGGACCCCAATTGAAGGATGGACAAATGTCCAGGTTGCTCATTCATACAGCAAACATACTTCTTTTATGCCTCTTGCACTACACGGTTATCTCACGTCAGGAAAGGACACCAAATATTAAGCAGTTTAATTATGCAAATTAACTAAAAAATTACCATGAAATTTGAAAACAGACCACTAATAACTTAAATACTTAATTCCCATAACATAAATATTGCAATTCAATTAGACCTGATTAAAGTACAGAAAAGTACAAAAGGTACATAGGTTGGGCATTAGAACATAAAAGGCAGCAAAACCATAAAGACAAAATATGCAAAATACAATAGAAAGAGGTAACACACACAGCAAGAGGATGACAGCTGGATACAGGTGGGGGAAAAGCTAAGTGGTGGAGCTTGGGTGAAGATGGGTAGGAATTTGGCACAAGAGGCAGGAGACAGGGAGAGGCTCAGAAGAGGGCGACGGGGCATCCGTCACCGGAGGGGAGGGAGACGGGGCTCATCACCGGAGGAGAGGGAGACGGGGCTCATCACCGGAGGAGAGGGAGACGGGGCTCATCACCGGAGGAGAGGGAGACGGGGCTCATCACCGGAGGAGAGGGAGACGGGGCTCATCACCGGAGGAGAGGGAGACGGGGCTCATCACCGGAGGAGAGGGAGACGGGGCTCATCACCGGAGGAGAGGGAGACGGGGCTCATCACCGGAGGAGAGGGAGACGGGGCTCATCACCGGAGGAGAGGGGAGAGGGCTCACGGGGCTCATCACCGGAGGAGAGGGAGACGGGGCTCATCACCGGAGGAGAGGGAGACGGGGCTCATCACCGGAGGAGAGGGAGACGGGGCTCATCACCGGAGGAGAGGGAGACGGGGCTCATCACCGGAGGAGAGGGAGACGGGGCTCATCACCGAGGGAGGGAGACGGGGCTCATCACCGGGGGAGGGAGACGGGGCTCATCACCGGAGGAGAGGGAGACGGGGCTCATCACCGGAGGAGAGGGAGACGGGGCTCATCACCGGAGGAGAGGGAGACGGGGCTCATCACCGGAGGAGAGGGAGACGGGGCTCATCACCGGAGGAGAGGGAGACGGGGCTCATCACCGGGGGGAGGGAGACGGGGCTCATCACCGGGGGAGGGAGACGGGGCTCATCACCGGAGGGAGGGAGACGGGGCTCATCACCGGAGGAGAGGGAGACGGGGCTCATCACCGGGGAGGGAGACGGGGCTCATCACCGGGGGGGAGGGAGACGGGGCTCATCACCGGGGGGAGGGAGACGGGGCTCATCACCGGGGGGAGGGAGACGGGGCTCATCGTCGGAGGGAGAAGGAGGAGACCCAGTACAAAAAACAGGAGATGATAATCATTAGGCAGGGACAAAAAGCGGGGACTAATTACTAGAGAGAAGGTGGGACCCACAAAGAGGGCACAAAATGGACAAGATAAGATGCAATACTGTAAGGGAAAAACAGAGTCGGAGTCCATGTTGACAAACCTTTTGCAGAAAGGGGAAGGAGAAGCTACGGAGACAGAGAAGAAGCTTTAGCTGGCCATACACTAGAAGAATATCTTTCTACATTTTTTGGTTTAAGAACGTTTGTTTGACTTTCTCATAATTAGTGAGGCTAAATCGCTCGTTTTCAACTGCAAGGGCGAGAAAATTTGAAGGCGCAAGATGTAATGAACACATTTCAAACAGTGAATATGGTTTTTGTTTGGGAAAGTCCAATTATTCCAAAATGAAATGTTAAAAACAAAACAAAATTTTGAAGTACTTTGGAACGACATTCATCCAATCATCAAACATACTGAGAATTTTTGTATAAATATCTACTAGTGTATGGCCTATTTAAGACAGCAGGAATGCCTTGTTTTCAGGATTGTAGGAACAATGGGACAGTTATTATTGATTGTGGTACGCAGGAGACAAATGGTGCAACCCATGGGGTGGGGGGGGGAGAAGGGCATACACACCAAGTATAACAGCAGACAGACCGACAACACAAAAGGAGATGAAGAAAAATTAATATACTTTGAAAATTGGCATAGGGATAACACATTTGGCACCGAGAAATAGGGAAGGAAATCAAGTGAACATGAAGGACATAAATGACTGGCTGGGCGTCAGAAGCACAAGATATGAGGAGGCAGACAAGTGGAGAAAGTAAATGACTGATGTGTAGACAAATTTAATGTTTATCTAAAACGAAAACTAAAATGTAATATATTGCTGCTTAGCAGTCCTTAGATGTAGCGGCTGCATTCGTTTTCCTTTTTCGGGCTTTTTTTTTTTTTTCCTGCCAGTAACACAGCTTCCTGTCCTAGGGTGACAACATTCATTCACCGTACTGTATCTAGAAGGGACTCATAGTGGTCACCCTAAGCTGCTCTTCTGATACAGGCTTGCAAACAAGATTAACGCTGGTCTCCTTCCATCACTTGGGTAGGAGGGGTTGCCTTCTAGGTAATTCGCCTAGTTTAGAAGACAGATAATATTTAAGATTACAAGTACCGTATCTATGGAGGGAGCCATGGTTGCTCTTTCTAATCTGAAATTACAAACAAGTCTTGTGAAGTAATGGCCATCCCTTGCTGAGGAAGTGCAATAGCACGAAACGCGTCCAAGGGGCCATAACGCCGTGACGTCCAGCAACCGGCTCCTGATATAGGTTCGGTGGCCTCCTTCACAATACTGTGCGGTCAGTGTACTTTTTGTCTACTTACATACCCTGATTTTATTACTCTTTTACTTACCCACGTGGATTAATAAATTAATTTTTATCAAAATACTACACTATGGGCTATTATTTTTGTTGACTCCCCGGTGAGCCAACAATTCACCCCATATATATTCCCAGAGATATTCCCATATTGCTGACATCAGTCCACCACTACTAGAGGAGAACATCAGGTCCAGTGCGATCCACCCGGCTGTATATCTGAGAGGCTTCCACGGTGGTACTCGGGGCTATCCCAAGAGATGACCACTGACCAGACCAATACCAAGAGGGGTAGAGTCCGTTACAAGAGGTTCAGCTCATCCATCCCATGAGGGGGACCTCTGGTTATTGATTATATGCGTATATAAAGATACGCATCTGGTGAGTGCGTATTTTAACTATTTTAATCACCTCGCCACCTGGAACGTGAAGTTACTAACATCTCTTGTAACCATCACCTACCACAGACTGTCACCATTTTTATACATTTATTTTAACATATTGAGATTTTATTTATTCACGATATGTTCAGCTGGTTTATTGATTGGAAGTATTAATCTGCATTTGTTTTAGCGCTGCACTTTCTTTTTAAGTATTCTATGAGGTTTTATTCTGGTTACCTTTTCGTGCTTTTAGCTGCTATACTATCACTAAGCACTCACTGATTATATTTTTTTATTCTAGGTCTTGTGAAGATGTTACTAAAG